TGATGCTTCGTTCCAGTTACGTATTGCTCTCGAAAAGCTCTTTCCTTGCGAAAAAATATTTGTTTTCAACAGTCTCGAAAAAATTGCAAAACCTGAACTTATTTCGGTATTCAACATTCGTTTTCCGTCCGGTCCGAAAGCTCAAGAGTGACTTTCGAGGTCTCCACGCACCACCATAGCACAGAGGTTAGAGCACTGATCTCGTAAACCAGGAGTCGCGAGTTCGAATCTCGCTGGTGGCTTATTTATCTGTGTTTAATACATAACACAGACATTGCTTCTTGCTCGTTGTTTGGTTATGGGTCTAATCTTGTGAAGTTTATGTATCCAATGTCCTCTATTTTCTTGGAAAACACAGGGTTCCAACATTTTTTGGCTGACTGGGGTCTTTCATCTGAAAAAAATATTTTTTTTCTACTGTCTCGATTAAATTGCAAAACCTGAACTTATTTCGGTATTCAACATTCGTTTTCCGTCCGGTCCGAAAGCTCATGAGTGAGATTCGAGGTCTGCTCGCGCAATCATAGCTCAGAGGTTAGAGCACTGGTCTCGTAAACCAGGTGTCGCGAGTGCGAATCTCGCTGATTGCTTATTTATCTGTGTCTAATACATCACACAAACTTTGCTTCTCGCGCGTTCGTTGGTTGCGGGTATAATCTTGTGAAGATTATGCATCCCGTGTACTTTATATTCTTGGAAAACACACGGTTCTATTATTTTTTGGCTTACTCAACTCTTTCATTCGAAAAAAATATTTTTTCTTTAACAGTCTCGAAGAAATTGCAAAACCTGAACTTATTTCTGTAGTCAACATTCGTTTTCTGTCCGATCCGAAAGATTAAAAGTGACTTTCGCAGTCTCCTCACTCCAGCATAGCTCAGAGGTTAGAGCACTAGTCTCGTAAACCAGGGGTCGCGAGTTCCAATCTCGCTGGTGCCTTATTTATCTGAGTCTAACACGTAACACAGACTTTGTTTCTTGCGCCTTCGTTGGTTGCGGGTATAATCTTGTTAAGATTATGCATCCCGTGTGCTTTATATTCTTAGAAATCACAGGGTTCTAACAGTTTTTGGCTCAATGGGGTCTTTCATTTGAAAAAAATATTTTTTTTCCAACTGTATCGAAAAAATTGCAAAACCTGAACGTATTTCGGTATTCAACATTCTTTTTCCGTCCGTCCGAAAGCTCATGATTGAATTTCGAGGTATCCCCGCGCCACCATAGCTCAGATTTTAGAGCACTAGACTTGTAAACCAGGGGTCGCGTGTTCGAATCTCGCTGGTGGCTTTCTTCTCTGTGTCTTATATGTACCTCAGACTTTGCTTCATGCTCGTTCGTTGGTTGTGGGTATATTCTTTTAAAGATTATGCGTCCCGTGTACTTTATATTCTTGGAAATCACAGGGTTCTATTATTTTTTGGCTTACTCAACTCTTTCATTCGAAAAAAATATTTTTTCTTTAACAGTCTCGAAGAAATTGCAAAACCTGAACTTATTTCGGTATTCAACATTCGTTTTCCGTCCGGTCCGAAAGCTCCTGAGTGAGATTCGAGGTCTGCTCGCGCCATCATAGCTCAGAGGTTAGAGCACTGGTCTCGTAAACCAGGGGTCGCGAGTTCGAATCTCGCTGGTGGCTTATTTATCTGTGTCTAATACATAACACGAAATTTGCTTCTCGCGCGTTCGTTGGTTGCGGGTATAATCTTGTGAAGATTATGCGTCCCGTGTACTATATCTTCTTGAAAATCTCAGGGTTCTAACAATTTTTGGCTCACTGGGGTCTTTCATCTGAAAAAAATATTTTTTTCCAACTGTCTCGAAAAAATTGCAAAACCTCAAAATATTTCGGTATTCAACATTCGTTTTCTGTCCGGTCCGAAACCTCATGAGTGAGTTTCGAGGTCTCCTCGCGCCACCATAGCTCAGAGGTTAGAGCACTGGTCTCGTAAACCAGGGGTCGCGAGTTCGAATCTCGCTGGTGGCTTATTTATCTGTGTCTAATATATAACACAGACTTTGCTTCTCGCGCGTTCGTAGGTTGCGGGTTTAATCTTGTAAAGATTATGTATCCCGTGTACTTTATGTTCTTGGAAATCACAGGGTTCTAACATTTTTTGGCTCACTGGGGTCTTTCATTCGAAAAAAATATTTTTTTTTCAATTCTCTCGAAAAAATTGCAAAACCTGAACATATTTCTGTATTCAACATTCGTTTCCCGTCCGGTCCGAAACCTCATGAGTGAGTTTCGAGATCTCCTGGCGCCACCATAGCTCAGAGGTTAGAGCACTGGTCTCGTAAACCAGGGGTCGCGAGTTCGAATCTCGCTGGTGGCTTATTTATCTGTGTCTAATACGTAACACAAACTTTGCTTCTCGCGCGTTCGTTGGTTGCGGGTTTAATCTTTTAAAGATTATGTATCCCGTGTACTTTATATTCTTGGAAATCACAGGGTTCTATTATTTTTTGGCTTATACTCAGCTCTTTCATGCGAAAAAATAATTGTTTTCAACAATCTTGAAAAAATTGATAAACCTGAACTTATTTCGCTACTCAACATTCTTTTTCCGTCCGTCCGAAAGCTCATGATTGAATTTCGAGGCCTCCTCGCTCCACCATAGCTCAGAGGTTAGAGCACTGGTCTCATAAACCAGGGGTCGCGATTTCGAATCTCGCTGGTGCTTTTCATATCTGTGTCTTATACGTACCTCAGACTTTGCTTCATGCTGGTTCGTTCGTTGCGGGTATAATGTTGAAAAGGTTTTGCATCCCGTGCCGTTCTTCTTGGAAAATACAAGTCTTTTACAT